CGTGCATAGGTCAATAGAGGATGAGCGAAATATCATTCAGTTAATTGTATACTGTATAGTACAACCATGGAAAAACACTAATGCGAAACACACTCGTATGTTCACCAAAAATCTAAAAAACATTTGAGGCCTCGACTGGACAGCACTAGCAGATAATTTAAATTTAATAGATTGATAAATATAATAATTCTAAAGCAATTCACGTTTCATCCACAGTTCTGAAGAACCTTGTACTGAACGATAAAGATTCCGCATCACTTCAAACATGTCGGCAACACATACAAAGATGAGAGAGATGCTGGTTCATGTCACATGAGCTGAGAAAAGTGCCGTTCTCAACCTGTCTGGATCTGTGAGATGCTTTAACATTTTTGCAGTTGTTACTGGTTCACCTGCGATTATCCGGATGTCAATGGCAATCGCCGCAATCCGTCAATACCATGGAAGCTTTTCCTGTTACATTGCTTTATCAGGACAGCTTCGAGGCTGACACGTTTTAAATTGCCGTGGCTAAGGAAATACACACAGAGGAACTTTCATGTTATTTACACGACAAGCCATTGTAATCAATACCGTCGCGAAAAGACGTGTTGTACGTGTGAGCATGTGTCGCCAATGCGACGACGAGGTTTCGAGAGGTGTACCGGCGTGGCCGCCCCGATGGCCTGTGCAGGCACCCGAGACGTATTAGCATATGGAGAGCGTGTCACGTTAGCGGAAGACGAGAGGTGTCGCAATCGTGTCGCTCGGAGAAGAGCGTGTTGTACATGGGAGCATGTGGTCGCGCGAGTAGCGCGAGGACGACATGACGCGGTGCTTCCGCTCTGTGTGTCGGCGGGAGGACATTTTTTCTACATTTCTTGCTCATATTTTTATGATAGCATAAAATAAACTCGAAAAGGCAGTATATTTTTTCACATTCCTACAGATAGTATATTTGTTTTTTTAGGTTGTGAAGCCAGTTCTTTGACAATGTTTGATGAGATTGCTTTTCACTGTACTTTGAAGCATTGCCAGTTTAAATAGGGACATATGCCTCTAGGATTGTTACTGCATACAACTGTACTACTGTTATAACAAATCGTCTATACCACATGATATTTGTCAACAGATCTTAATAAATTATTTACACATCAACGCTACGAAATTTGACGGCGCCATTGACACCCGCGAAAACCGTGGCTGCCCACCCTGAAAAGATGGTATTGTGATTTTTATTTTGCAGTAAATTGACGAGGGCTAATCACAAAAGAATGCAATGTAATTTATACCTAATGTTATTTAACGGAAGATATTATTTTGTGGCAAATTTTCCTATTATAACCTGAAACTAATATGTCGTTTTAGACTATTACATCCTTTTGCATTTAAATGAATAAATAAGAATTACGCTCCAGGTCTCGTAGCTTGGATGGATAAGTGGTTTTTGCGCAACTTCTCAGAATCCCGTGCGCTCTGATGCGCCACCGTCGTTGGTATCAACTTGTAGTCGTGTAAGTTTTAAACATTTAAAAAAATATTACTAATAGGTGACTTGACACAATGAACGTATGATAGCGCATTATACCCTAAATTAGCTGAAAATACCACTAGAATAGAGGACGTACTGTCTTTAGCTTCTTCTTATAATGAACTAGATTCTATTTTGTTTGCAAAAACTATGCTTGTGCTTAACATTTGTGCACCTGGATGGTATCAATGGGCAATAGCATGGTTCTAGTTTCGACACTGAAGTGTGGGTACCAAGTTTTGGTTCAATAGACTGTCATACCAATGAAGAAGATCTATTAACACTAAAGTTTTTGTCACTGCTAACATGAGATTATAGCTGTGATTGTTGACAGTCTTGCGGGCAACTATTTCGATCTATGCGAATCTGAAGATTGCGGCAATTTTAAGATCGGCGCAGTGCAATCTACGATCGCACAGACTGCACGGCATCTCCGAATTGTGTTGTGCTTCTTACGCGTTATTAATAACGAAGTAATCGATACACTACACGCAATTTCAGTTTTATCTTAGACGAAGTGTTCTAGACTAATCTAAATATGTACATACAAAGTTACTACTAAAACCTGACCTTGACTTTACGAATTTACGACAGTCAGAGATGATCAGAAGGCCCAAACATGTACGCTTACAAATCTTTAGAACATGGGCATGTGCAATTTATAGACTCTAGCATCCAACTAGCTCTATAGCTGACTAAACGGCAGCAACCCTGGTAAAGCCGGCCGATTGGTAGATTGCATGTTGACAGAAATAATATAAAATTCTGTGGTAAGTGCATATCATGGTATCTTTTATTCTCAGATGATAGCTTTTTTGTGGTCTCTAAAGCGGGCTTATAGTCGGGTTGCGTGCTTTTGCGGCCGACGCGCGCACTGCAATCACTGCGAATTGCAGTGCTTATGGTCGTACTGCCGACGTGATGACAGAGCGACATGCTGCGACCAGTCGCAGCAGTTAGAAGTGGCACGATCGCCTTATTGATCGACGCAACCTAATGAGTTTACTGATTTGTTGCTGTGTGCATGTTGTGTACATGACTTGCTATGCAGTGATGATTTTTTCACTGTGCATTGTTTATGTACATTCGATTCGTTGTGCAGCGATCGCAAGGCAGCTTATGTCGGGTCTACCATGCAAAACAATGCTTTGGACGTATTCTACGAACCACTCGCGCGTCATAAACATAGTAGAGTAGAACATGTGCGTCACTGCGATCGACGTTGCGACATGACAATTTTCCAGTCGAAAGCAGTCGCAGACCACGGTCGAGGGTCATTAGGGTCGAAATTTTCTGCGTCGCGATCGTCCGCTGGCGACTTCGCAACCAAGTTGCAGAAAATCAGTCGCGACATAGGCAATCGCGTCGCCCGTCGCGAGGCCGAATAAGCCGGCTTAACGACTTATGCGTTTTGATCTCATATCTATCGTAATAAAGCTAGTAATACAATGACAATTATATACACTACGGTCTACCGTATACTATTTTTTAATACTGCAATATAGTAACATATTCATAAACTCAAGATTTGAACTGTTACAAGGTACGTGACACTAGACGTGTTGGGATAGACGCTTAGCGATCATTTATTTTGTAAAGGTTTTCAACAAATTGTGTTAGTTATTATTACAATAATCTTTACACAGTGTACTTGTATTGTAGTTAAGAGAATTGATGGTAGTAATCGTGTTCGTTATCAAGATTATAGTGAAATTCCAATATAGTCTGGCAACACTTCGTCTCTGTTTATGGTCTTGTGATATTATATATATATATTTACAATAAGAATAAAGAATGTTACACTATGACACTGATGACTGATAGCATTCTGATGCTTGTTGTGTATGTGTTTCATCAGTCTCGAACGTTTAGATTGTTTTTCAGGAAGATTACCTTCGTGTCTGTAACTTTTTCTCTAGTTCATTGTAAAATTGAAATATTTTCTGCAACAACATTGCTACAAGATTTGTGGTGTTGGATTTCAAAATATTTAATATGGATACGTAGGTACTTTTCATGTAGAATTTTACTTCCCGCGATCCGTCAGGAGAACAGCTTTAGACTGGTCAGCGCTCGACACGTGTCAGCGCGAGTGTCAGCTGATAACGCGGAGTGGGAAACTGTCGAGCCGTACCAGTTCTAGGAGCAGTTTGGCCGAATGCTACTTTTAGTAAGTTGTGTCCGGCTGTGTAACATCAATTATAAAACAAATCAATATAGATTTCCATTGAGGTTTAAAATGAATAAAGATGTTTTGCCAAGGGCCCGCTAAATACCTAGCGCGACAATATTGAATAAGTATATTAGAAGTTGTGCTGTAGTTAAAAGTTGGGGTAGCGCATTCGAAAGAGAGGTGATCGTATGGTTAGTCAAGTAACACGGATTTCCCCGCGGTAGTGCTGCCCTTTCAGATAGGGGCGCTTAGCGTACGCTCGCTGGGGTTCAATTTTATGGCGACAATCAGCAGCTAGGTTATCTATCTTATTTCTATGCTCTCGGCATACTAGGCCCACCTAATTGTGAACTATGCATATTTTCACACACGAGGTGATAATCATGGGATAATAATCTTATAATATCAAAGACCGTACGTCTAGGTTCACGGGCGTTAACAGACACTATTTAACTATATTAATACCTATTTTTCAAAATACCTTTGCTCGGCTGCGTGATTTTTTTTTCCTAGGTCACATCAAGAACATAAGGGGCTGTAATGTAGCGCTGCTAATTGGTTGAGCTTGTTTTGCGACTATACATAGCACCATCAAAAATATTATAGCGCTGATATTGACTCGATTAGCTTAGTGTCGTACTATAACGCTGGGTCAAATAAAATGGTCGGCAGGATCGAATCCCGTCATTCGTTTTTTCTAATTATTTTTCTGTTTTCTGTGTTTTTTTTCTATCTTTATCTGGTCTTTAACATTTTTTTCAATTACCGCAATATGTTACATGACTTCATTTAAACATAATTAATAACAGCAATTAATTTTTAACAATTAAAATTTAAATTTATTTAGATTTTGTTTTAATAGTGTTTGGTTTAGTGTAGGTTAGGGTTAGGGTTAGAGTGTTAGGGTTTGGGTTTGGGTTGGGTTAGGGTTTAGAGGGTTAGGGTTAGGGTTAGGGTTAGGGTTAGGGTTAGATTTAGCGGTTAGGCGTTAGGAGTAGGGTCACAATGCAGTTGAATGACATAAAACAGGAGTTTTGAGGCACAAGTTGATTTGTCATCAACAATGGCGAGTGCGCTTCGTTTAGAGGAGGGGCCTATGTTCATTGATTGACATAGGAAAAAAATACACGATTTCGTGGCCTCGAGGCCAAACCATGCTCGGAAGTGGTTTCTTCGTGCACTTATCTGCCGAAAAATACCTAAACGTAATAGAATGTCAAAGATCTTACGGCTACACACACATCCTAAACGATATTTTATTTATTTCAGACTCATACAATACGTTCTAATCTTGGTTATTGTGTCAACTCCTTCACTAAAAATTATTAAAATTACCTCACAGAACAGAGAAAATGGCGACCGTGGCGTCGATACGACGAACGATAATGAGATCATATCTTGATCATATGTAGAATGTTCACATCATAGATATCATATAACAACTAGATAGGCCCTAGCCAATGAGAGCGCATTTCACTGAACGGTCCGCCACGCCGCCATATTGGAAAGATGACTTTCGCAGATTGTCGCAGCGTTTTCTAGGGCAATAGACCGACGAACGGACGTTAGGAAAGTGTACTTCCTCTGATATCTCGCGAACCAATTGAGTTACATTTCTAAAAATTTTAGATATTATAGGCACATATCTTAGCTATAATCTCTGTGAATTTTGAGTTTACTTAACCACGATTAGTTTAATTAATTACCAAATATATGCGCGCGGTGTCGCATATAAACGGTCCGCCGCGCCGCCACAATATTATAATAATAATAACGGTAATAACGGTAACCATAACGGTAATATAATAATATAATATAATAATATAATAATGATATATGTAATAATAATAATATATGTAATAATATAATAATGATAACGGTAATAAACGCGGTAACCATAATAACCGGTAACCATAATAACGGTAACCATAATAAACGGCCCGCCGCGCCGCCATATTGGAAAGATGACGGCGTCTCAAGGTACACAGTGTTTCGCTTACTTATGTTCCAATTACCGAAATGCCATAAGCAAATCCAAGGGAATATCGTTTCACAAGTAAGTACTAACCGCGTATGAGTCATAAGGTAACTTTTGCCATATTTTTACACAAACCAGGTCAAAATGGTACCCAAATGGCAAATGTCAAATGACAAGGCAGCCGCAACGCATACCGCGTACTCAGAGGTACGACTTGATAACTCAGTGTTCGCGCAGCCGCATGGCTACGTTATCGTATAATAATCTAGTTGGACAACAACAGGCTCCGTAGGCATAGGGCCTAGATATAAAAATATCCATTTGTGGACAGGCTAGTGCTAGTTTCAATGTGTGTAATCCCCCCACTCCTCGGTACGGATTTACGCGCCTGACCTCCAGTACAGTGTACAGGCCCACAGCCCAGGGACTTGAGGCGAAAAAAAAGTGTTATATAAATAAAGAGAAGCCCTCTTTTAATATATATATAACACTTTTTTTCCCGCCCCAAGTCCCTGTGGTACAGGCAGCCGCATATTATAGGTCCAAGTAGGTATATATACTAAAATATTGTCATTTGTCAGTATTGAGAAATTGTCTGCATCTGTCAATGTCATCTTGTATCTTGGTTGTATCTTTTAATAGTTGTATATATCATGAACTGATAGTTGAAAGTTATTTTCCATTGAGCTGCTATATCTGTTTTATGACTGCCCTTTTTTTTTAGGTTTCCAAGTGAAGACAAATTTCCCAAGCTGTATGCAGCCTGGGTGAGAAACTGTCAGCGAGACAGAGAGCCGGGAAAACACTGTGTGCTGTGCAGTGATCACTTTGCAGCAGTCTGTTTTGACCGAACTGGTCAAATTGTAAGATTGAGAGATGGTGCAGTGCCAACCCTCTTCAACTTACCACCACACCTTCAGGTAACCATCCAAAGATATGTTTTTTATAGTTTTAACAACTATTATTATATATTATTGTATTATTTATAACTTAATTGTGGATATACCAACTTTTAAATCATGCATAAAATCTCCTTAAATTACGTTATATAAAGTAAATGAGACAATATTGAAATAAATGCAATATGTAGAGTTATAACGTTTAAGGAATATTTATTCTATAATTTTAGGCACCATGCAAAGGAAGAACAACCGAGAATTCAACAAAGGCAGATGTCACAGACATTTTGCCACAAACAGTCTCATCTGCTCCAAGCTGTAAAGTAACCAAAAAAAAAACACACACAAATTTGTCAATTTGTCAGAGTTTATGAGTCATTTCAGCAATGTTTGCCAATTTTATTGAGCCGAGCGCTTAGTCTTCTGCTGCACAACGACCGACTTTTGCTTATAATCGATCATCGGGACATCACTTATATATATATATATACCTGACTATCATTTAAAAATTACATAATAATGTACAGTATTGTGACTGTATTGTATTTGGACAATGTAATATATGAAATATTTTGTTTTAAGGATCATGCTTACTCATGTTCTCCACGAAAATGGAAAAGAAAGTAGGTGCATACTGTTCGTCCTAAATATTGTCAATGTCGTGGTCCCAGCTAATTTGCGATATACAGATGATACACATACTAAAGAGTACAACAAGAGATTACACTTACAACTTTTGTTAACATCAGACATAGAACAGCACGAGATAAGCCAAGTTCAGATCAGTGGTCGCAGCTTAGTATGGTCAAAACCAGCTGAGTGTAGTTAGTATCTAGTACCGAGTTAGCTTAATGGAGTCGGCACAGAATAGCCCCTGCTTAACTACATCTGCAGCTCCCACCCACCTAACTCATCGCTTACCAATTTTAGAAGCACACGCTTCAGAGCGAATATTCAAGTAATAAAGTTGAAATGCCTCAAAACTGGGATGAACCGGTATTTTTAAAAGCTACATGACACAAGCTTTTCGTGCGTTCGTGACCTTGCAGGACAACTACAGCTGTGAGACGGCGCTGTCGATGTCACCCATTTGCTCTTTTAGACTGTTCCACTGCTCTGGATTCAAAGAGATCCCTGAAAGAAAATTTTGCGATAAACATCCATCCCATAGAAAACTTGATCTGATCTTTCCGTTTGCTTTTTTATTGATTCTTCCGGAGTGTGATATCGTAAATGGTCCTGCACAGTAATCATTCAGATTCAGATTGAGTTGCGGAATTTAAAACGTAATTTTAGCAAGTGTTCCATGACAGAAATCTAATGCATTCTACAAGATAAACATAGAGTACAACCTTACATCTTGAAGGTGGCATATGTCCCTGTTAGCACTTACAACTCGTGGACCTAAAAACTTGTGTATGTGTTCATTTATTACCTTTCTTTCCTGGCTTTTGCTCTCCGTCAGAATTCATGTAGTACTCCCGGATGTCAACCAGCGTCTTACCCTTGAATTCACGCACTGTCACAAACCTGTTCTTTGCCAACTGGAATCATGAAAATTTTGGGTTTGGTGTTAAAAGTTGGGCATCCCCTTTGGCACTTGACCCAACATGCTCTACTAGCAATGTGCTTGGCCATCTACTAGTGGATTGTTTAAACAGGGGGAAAGATGAGGAAAAAACTGTCTTTTATACCAGGTCGTGTTCTGCTTGGTGGAAAATGGATCAAAATATGTCAAGGGTTAATCTACGAAGCAAGTCTTCTGATACAGTATTAGTGAAACACTAGAAAACAACTAACCTGGTTTAGAAATAACTGGAACCAATATTCTAACAAGTGGAACTGGCTGAATAAATGTAAAACCAACTTTAATATGGTACCAGGGTGCAAAATTAACGCGAGTCCAGAGTTAAATACTCCCTGATTTACTGTCAGACTCCCTGATTTGACATATGCAGGAGTCCGTGTGACTCCCTGATAATTCTGTTATACTAACTAGTAGTAATTCGTTCCAGAGCACGGCCTCACGGAATTACCGTATTTGTTAGCAAATGTCCAAAGAAAATTTGGCAGACGTGCATCGCATAAATCTTCAAAATAAGCACATGCGTTATTGTTGTTACACTTTGGTTTAGAACCTTAGACTGCGGACTCCCTCATTTTGCTATGGACTCCCTCTTTTTGAGGCCAGGGAGTCCGTTGGACTCCTTTGTTCAAAAGTTAATTTCTACCCCTGTGGTACCGTGCAAAACAGGTGAATGAGACATTGAAATTACCAATTTACCGAAAACATAGCGTCACCATCATCACTCTTCATTGCCTTTTTCTTCCCCTTGTCTTGATGTTTCTTTGTGACAGGAGTTGACTGTTAACAACGTAAGTAAGCGTACGAGAGAAACGCGTGTGAGGTAGCGACGATAGGCGAAAACATCGGATTTCAATGTGAGTTGCATTGATTCGCGAAATTCGCTCGCGGGATTTGAGCTGCGACGACGATGCGTTGACTTTCGCGAGTCTGTGATCTCGGAGGTGAAGCCGTTAGTGTTGTTGGTGCATCTGCGCTGGTGCTTGCTTGCAGTGATGGGAGAACTTCTGTTTGAGTGCTACCGCGTGCCGTCGCTCACCTACGGAGTGGACGCTCTCTTCTCCTTACATCAAAATCAACAAATGTCAGGTATTGTGAAGTTTTAACAAATATTATCGTTTTGAAAGTACTAGACCTGCGAGTAAATGCATCAGGAGTGATAAGATGAATGGAGTGCATTTCAGGCTGTGTAGTAATTAATCTAGCAGCCTCGTCACGCTAAACGATGTATGGTGTACACGCGGGTAAAGCTGCTGCGTGCCGGCTTCTAATGAAACCCCAGCTGGTAGTGAACATTGACCTGTGACGTTACTTATTTTTATGGTGTTTCTATGGTAATGTGTAGAATTAGGGAATAGAATGGAGCTGTGTGCGTGCGTGCGTGCGTGCGTGTACATGTGCGTGCGTGCGTGCGTGCGTGCGTGCGTGTACATGTGCATGCGTGCATGATAAACTATTGGTCATAATTATAATTAATTAAATGATCACAGAATAAAACAAAAATTATTACAAAAGTGTCATTAAATTTGCATTGCAGAGCATACGAACGGATTGGTGATAGACTGTGGCTATCACACGACCCACGTTCTGCCTGTCTTGAACGGCAGGCTTAACGCACAGCACTGCAAGAGAATAAACATAGGCGGCAGCGATCTAAACCACTTCATGCTACGTCTGATGCAGCTGAAGTATCCGGGACATTTGGCTAGCTTGACCCTGAGCAGAGCAGAGGTGCGTTCATAGTCAATCAGAGACAATACATCTATTTAGATTCCGGTTAATCAATTCGATTTCAACCAGTATCATCTTAACACCATGGCGACGTCAGCAGAAACTAACATAATCCTAAAAACTTTTTTTGTACCCGAAGCAGAAACTACAACAACACGATTAATTAATTTCCTGAACTGTTAAGTTACGATGCATTGATTTCAATGTTTTAATATTTATATATATACGAGTATATGATGCTTATTTATGCTCGCGCCAACGCAAGTTGCAACGCTATGGTATGTTATGTCGTTTCGGGTTTTCCGCGTGCCGTTCGAAAAGCATGCGCATTGCAAACATGGCGGTTGGCGGTTAGTTGAAATTTCGGTTCGGCTCTTGAAATTTAGATTGTTCACAGCTAACTGAGGTATTAGTTTTAATAACAACGCTGGAATACTATAAGGTGAAGGTTATACTTGATACAAACCAAGGCAGAAATGCTTAGATGATCATTTTATTTGAGATATACGTAATTGTTCGGTAGTTTTTGTACAGCTACAAGATTTTTCAATGGATGGATGTCAGGCGGTGTATTGACGTTAGTCACACAGCCTGGTCGGGTTAATATGTACCCTGTGTTTACATAAACGTACCTGCCCCGCGGGCAGCATATGAAACCACGCGATAAAGTACGAAAATGTCGTAAACCTTCAAAACAAGAGAACAAATGCCATTTGTAAATATTTGTTTTGGTTTATAACCGTTAGATAAGTAAGTTTTCTGATGTATTTTCCATGAAAAACACATATTTTACTGATTAATATATCATGTAATATCACTATAATTGCAATTCTTTGTGCAAATGTGTTATTTTCATCTTAATCTTAAGTTATGAGAGGGTCTGGGCTTATAGCTGCCGAGTTTGGTTTAGTTAGGAAATGATAATACGATTTGCGTATCCGTATCGTTCCGCGTATACGGCAGTATTAACAGGTATCAGGATATGCAGTGTAGGGGCCTATACGCAATACGTTTTTGTTCTATACTTTCTGTTTATGTTTGTGGACCGATTAGTTTACAGCTGACCTCAGGGTTTTTGGTAGATAATTCGGGATTTTGGCTACAAATCATGAAGGCTGACAGCTTGCCAAATTCCAGCCAATCAGAAGGCGCTAAATTCTTCCTATGTTATAGTTATACTGTTTTCCGGCTTTTACGACAATACCACGCACGACTGAACGAGACTTCCCGCCTGGGTACATTTAAGGAGCGCAGCGTACGGTTATGTAGAAACAACATTGGTCAGGTACACTTGTGTATACATATATGGGTACAAGTAGCGTTTACACACCCATGTCGTGAGTTTGATTAGGGTTAGGGTTAGGGTTTTTAAACCTGGGGTTGTCAAATAGGAATGGGCCCGTAGGTTGTTCCGGATTGGAATCATCCGGGAAAAAAAAGAGAATTTGAATGCTGCAGTTGTGTAAAAATTGTAAAAATGCCGTTGTTGTTGCGCAGTGCAGGTGCCGAAATTTGTGGGGGTTTTATACCATACTTAGTGGGTGTAAAATATAAGTACATAGGTGTACATACGCATACCATACTTCCTATTAGCAATCACCAACTAGCAATTTTAGTTGTTTAAGACGTCCTACTACTACTTACTTTTAGAGATTTCACAGCTAAGCCGGTCAGTTTACGTTCGTTCACTCGAGTTCGTTCGTTCGTTATCTCTGCGCGCTAGACTGGTTCCACACGCTACACTAACGTTAGTGTAGCGAAGAATATGCGCATACCGGAGTAAAGGTGGCAAACGGGTACCAGTCTATCTGCGCGCTAGACTGGTACCCGGTCTCACCCAAGGGTCCCATCTATCGGCTTAGGGTTAGGGTTAGGGTTAGGGTTGGGGTTAGGGTAAGGGGCGAGCACCAGTCTATCTGCGCGCCAGCGATGTGCGCGCCACCAAAACAACAACCGGAAACGGAAATGGCTAGTATAGTTCACAATCCGCCGGCAAAATCGACACTTCGATACTTCGATGTAATCGAGTGCCTTGTAAAATACAACTACAAGAGAGGGGGCCAAGATACAAGATACAAGAAGACACGACATTGATCAGACAGACAGATCGCAGTTATTGATAAGATGCATAGGATAGTTTGGGTGCATAGATTATTAAATAGGAGACTTATCTTCGATCAACGAGATACCCAATCTCCCCGGTTCAAGGATAGAGAACATGCCCATTGGCATTGCCATTGGGACCCATGTTCTCTATCTTTGGGCCGCCCGCTTACATTGACTGCCGCTAGCCAGCCGCTGCCGCTGGCTG